TATTAGGGATCCCATTAAGGGCTATATACCCATATTATAATTACTATCCAGCTGTTGCTGAGTGGGGGCGGTACCCAAGGTTTGGGGTTTTCTGTGGGGGGGCTTGGGAATTAGATTAGGGTTTACGGTGTGTTGCTACGTAGGGGCTTTGGGGCAAGCAAGGTGCTGCAAGATCTTGTTCCGTGACTCCGTTTCGAGTCTCCAGAAAAACACACGTAACAACCATAGAGCTTCTTTGTCAAAGGCTACTACTGGGTTGCTGTTAAGGAACTTAAATTAAGTTACCATAGTGGGTATATATAGTAAATAATAGGGTTTCCCCACTATAGTAACTTAATTTAAGTTCCTTGACAGCAACCCAGACTATGTACTGTATACGGTAGTGGGGGTTACTAGCCCAAACCACAGTTTTTACTAATTCCTATAGTAGTGTAGACTACATCAGATACTGGCGATCCTTCCGTGCTTTCATTCCATCACAGGGTCCATTACAGTTTTAGCAGCTGCATTTCTTGGCGAATGCCAAAGGGTGGATGATGCTCCACATTCTATATGGTCAGCTTCCACGAAACCTGAATCTGAAACCCTATAAGGTCTGAAATGCTTTGCACGACCTAGACTACTGTGAGCCCGAAAACTCTGTAACTATATGCCCGCTCCACACACAGACTTGCATTCAGCACTCATCCCAAGACACTTTGCTGTATAAAGCATTCAAGCCGAATGTCTGCATCGTCACAGGTACTTCAGCATTAACACCGCAGAGGCCCCCCAAAGTCCGCTAGAACTTCACCAGCGTTTTTAAAGGCCTTAGAGGCCATCTGAGTAGTATTTTATTTGGGGATACTATGGTACCCATTATAGAGTAAGATTATATCCTCCATTGGGGTATAGTATTTTATATAAGGAATACAATCTTACTAGGTTCAACCACAAAAAAAACACTACTCATCTAGACTTCATACATAGCCTACCCTAAATCCCTAAAACCCTAAATAGTAGTTTCCATTTTCTTTTCCATCATCCCTAGATAACCCCTATATAAACCGTGTATATATATAACCCTTATACGTAACCTCGGAACATCACTGCGAAGCTTCACGGGGTCCACGCGAGATCTTGCGAAACAGCCCATCCCTCAAAAAGCCAGCGCCAAGGAACCCTTAAATCCGAAATCCTAACCCTGACATCTGGGGATCCCATACGGGTAATAAGTATAGTTCCCATAATGATAGTAATAGCCATCATCCTCTATCCCAAAGCTGCCTTTAGCAGGCTCGCCCGCGAGAGGAATGCGGCCGAGCTGTGGTTAGGCGGGCGCCGGGTTTGTCGGGATAGCAGGATCTGGGGTTTTGGGTGTAGGGGTCGAGGGTTTGGGGTTTAAGGACTAGGGTTTAGGGTTTGGGGGTTAGTGACCCTGGTTAGCGTTCATTGTTTCCACAAAGGTTACAGTAAGTACTTATGCTGGCCAGCAGCCGGGGTTTTGATGATGGCATCATTAGGAGTGTCTCAGTGGTTTGCGGTAACTGCTAGCCAGTGGGCTGTTTGGAGGGGCTGATTCTGGCTTAGGCTTAGTGTAGACTCCTTTTTGGATTGTCGTGATTTTGGTTTGTCGTGTGCAGTCAGACTCCTCTACGTACTACTAGTCCCTTCTCATGCTTAGGTTTCTGTGTGCTTTGCATACTGGATTTAGGGATATCGGCTTGATGAGGTTTAGGCTTGGAGGATTTGGATGCTTTGAGTTGTTATAAGGGGGTGGTTTGCATCTTCAGTAGCACTCTTGGATATATGTACGGCACGTGTAATGACATCAGGTACGGCAGACCTTGTACTCAGAGTCGGAGCACCGGGAGCCCTTTTCCAGTGACCCGCGGGCTTCAATCCTCGTAGATTACCTGGGGACACCTGTTTCATACTATGAGCAGTGAGCAAGCGCCTTGTGCATTGTTCAAAGATCGGGGGTGGGGGGGTTCGGATTTTTTCTTGAAGCCCAAAATTTCCAGTGGCTGTTATCCTTGGACGCTAGACCCTAAATTCTTCAAGCTCTTCGGCAGGCTTTAGCCCGGAGCAGATCATGAGACTTTGGTCTACGAATGGCCACCAGAAGCTTCGGCGGCGCTATGTTAGCTCCCAGTTTCCACGTCATTGTGCATGTTTTATTTCGCATTTGCTTTTCCATTTCCTAGTTTTTAGACCCTATACCCTAGAAGCCCAGTTACCTATACATTGGGTTCCTGTCCTTGGATCCCTATGTAAACGTATACTATCTATAACCCAAGAACCTACTATATGGGTACCTGGGCTTCTAGGGATATATAAAACCTTCTTAGGGCTTACATGGGGATACGGGAAGCTTGAGGCTTTAGAATTCCTGGAATGCAGAATCCAATGGCCAATGACATGGACGGTGCGTTTATGGGCTTTAGGGTTTAGGGGCCTAGGGGCTTAGGGTTTAGAGTTGAGGGGTTTAGGGTTTAGGGTTTGGAGTTAGGGCCCAGTAAAGGGCTTCTGGAGGGTCAGCATCTGCGGGAAGCAGTCTAAGGTCCAGACTCGAAAGGTTAAGGTCATGTGCGGTGTCTCGAATTGAGTATGGCCATTTTTGGGGGGTGGGATTATTATTGAAGTTGGCGAGTTGCGGATATGATTCACATATGCGGTGATGTTTTGAGGCGACCTTCATCGGGGAGCTCGGGGAAATCCGAAGTCTGTCCTATCAGGTACACGTACTACAGTGGCCTTAATAGTTGTGAATAGATATGTATATATATATATATGTATATATATACATATATACATATATATGTACACAGAGTACCTCAAAAGGACCTCAAAAGGCTATTGGAGTTTGTTTGTTCCCTAACATTGCCTGCTTTGTGATCGTGATCTCATCCGCCACTTTAGATTCACCGGCTTTTTGCATCCTCTGCATGTGGCTAAGTTCAGTGCTACCTGACATAAGTGCCAGAGAGATTGCAAACCTGTTTTTCGGGAAGAGCATGCGGCGCCATGGACGGATAAATCTCCAGAATGGCGTCCTAATCCCTGAGCCGTTAACCCTAAACACTAAATGCGGGTTAAGTTCAGCGTTTCAGAACTGGGAGCTTGCACTAAACGAAGTTCTATGAGGGTACAAAAACTCAATGCCGCCGGCATTTCCTGCTTCGCCCTCGAACCGCCTAAACTTTGGCTTCTACTTGCTGAGCCCTCAGCCTTCTAGCCTAAGTCCTAGAACCTCTCCCTACAGCCCCCTCCATCCGGGTGAAAGACGAAACCTAATCCCTTCATCCTCCACTCCAGATTCTCTGGTGAACTTTCTCCCCCAACTACTTGAGAACTGTTTGTTGGGAAAGGAGAATCATGAACTGCCTCAAGGGTTATATAGAACTGACACAATACAATTTTTCAACATGTGCAGATCATGGGAAACCGATAAGAGCAAATTAAACTATAACGTAGTGATTCATGGTATTTGACGGGAATCGATAAGAGTAAACACGCATGATAGCGTGTTAAATTGGGTAGAAGGCTGGCCCATAGGTTTTTGGCATTGATCTCATGGAAAAGGAAAATGGAACATGAAATGGACACCAGGACAAGCCGGGGTTGTACACTGATAATTTGGGGTTGAGGGTTCAGGGCTTTTTGGCTGATTGTAAGTACGGATGAAGGACTGGGCAAGGATATGCAAATACTCACATGTACTATAGTCTTATCTCCTTAAAGGGGATTATGTAGATGATTCTAGGGGGAGTATTCCATGGCTTAGTAAGCGGGATACTCGGAGTTTAGACTATGGCTCATATAGGGGCCACTTTAGGACTGAATGCCGCAATTCCGCAGGTTACAAGGCATTTCTTGGGCAAGGGTACTGACAGAAGGAATCTCTTGACTTGAGGTACAAAAGCAATACTACTAATACTACTTGTAAGAATACAAGTAACATTGACTAAGAACAATAATAATAAGAGTAAGAACAGTAATAATCGTATTATCGGCTCCCAAGCCTTGAGCCCCAAGCCCAAACAGTCCAAGGGAGGTGGGAACGGAACCCATTAGGATGCCTACTATCAGACTGTAAAAATCACTGCTCAAATCCAAAAACCACAACTGCAAGCAAAAACCAATGCTGTAAATCCCCATCCCCACATTCTATTTTTACTATTAGCATTACTACTACTACTACTACTACTACTATTATATTACTATATTACTACGATTACTAGTACTACTAGTACTGCTATTATTATCTAAGTCCCAACTGCCCAAGTTGTGAGCAAGCGTAAGGAGTGGGAAGCATCTGCAAGACGTGCCCATGGGTACAGAGGAGTACCGGATGGTCAACGCTGCTTTCAAGGCTATTCAGGGTCCTTGTAACAGGGCTGGCCAGAAGAGGGTGCCAACAGGGCCCTAGGTGAAGCTAGCGAGTCCTATTTCATGGGGGGGGTGTTGGAATGATGGTTGTGGAGGTGCATGAGATCAAACCTGTGACTCTCTGTTCTCTGTTATTTGCAGATTCCCGTAGTCCAGCAAGGGCAATACATGGGAGGAGAGAGTCGCCCGCGCGTATCCATGACTTACAAGGGCTTGCTAGGGAATAAAGGGGCATAATCCTTATATCATTTTCATATAGCCTCATTCCCTACTAACCCCCCAGTAAGTTGAATAAGAGACAGAAGCGGGCCTGTCCAGTATAGTTCTGCAATGAAAGTGGATATGTGCCTGCGCTACGGGGTACCCATGCTATACAAACGGACCCACGTGGAACCTGCGCGAGACCGGGACTGCATGGGACCCGCTCACAGAATGAAATGGACCCGCGCGCGGCCCACATCCTTGTTGAATCGGCTTTGATAAGGTCAAGCTTTGGGGGCTTAGAATGAGCTTTGCTGCGCAACAAGGGTTGAAGGTTACCACAAACTTGTGGGTTTAGGGCTTAGAGGAAAGTCGCATTAAGAATTGCAAGAGTGGTATTGCTAGTCATGGAAACCATACTGACACTCATGACAGCAGCCCTAAACCCAAAACCTGATAACCCTGTATATCATATTTATATACGAAACGATGTGTATGTATATATATATATATCTGTTTTTCTATCCACCTATCTTATGTGATAGGAAGATAGATCGATGTCTATGCCTAAACCCTACACCCCGAACCCTAGACCCTAAATCCTACCCCATACACTCCCTAACTGTCCTAGCCAGGCGTTGCCAGTCGAACAGCAGGCCGGGGCTCCGCCGTAGTAGTCCTGTAGCTTTACCGTTTAGGGCTTTAGGGTTTAGGGATCAGGGTTAGTAGATATATGGGGTTTAGGGTTTAGGATTTAGGGGTTGAGAGCTTCGGGTTTACGGTTTGGGGTTTAGGGCTTAAAGCGTAGGGTTTAGTGATAAGGGCTTAGTAGTCCTTTAGCGAGCGGTTCCCAAAAGGTGATTATACCTAGACCCCCAGAGGACATTGTACGGCCCAATCCAGGAGAACTGGAAAAAGAACACAACATGGAACGGAAACTGAGATTTATGTAGGGGCTTACAGGGTCCCAGTTTTGGGGGTCCCTATAGTAAGTGTTATAGTATTGGTCTATATTGGGGTTCCCTGAGTTTGGGAATACCGCATATGGGGGAGTTATACGGACATATAGGGGACTGGGAAAGAGAATGGTATTATACTGTTCAGGGCTTTGGGGTTTTCAGATCAAGGGTTCAAGGGTAAGGGTTTTAGCATTCAGGGTTTACGGTTCCTACATACCTCTTGACGAACAACCCTAAACAGGGTATAGGGTTCCCACATACCTCTTGACGAACAACCCTAAACCCTAAACCCGAAACCATTAGCAGCCCCTAAGCCCTGAACCCTGAACCCTAAACCCTAAACCCTAACCCTAAAACCCTGGAGGCCTATATCCTCTCACCACCGGAGACTTGGGCTCCAGTACGCGCACTGCGGGTAGGGCAGCCCAGAGGAAGACTTGGGGACCAGGTTGTGAGGCGATTGGTTTAGGCTTTAGGCCCCAAACCCTAAACCCTTTGCACGTGACCCCCGTGGAGAACTCTTCGGGATTCCTAGGTATATGAGCTATAGTCTGAACAGGGGGTTATATTGGGGATTACACAGGTGAGTACTATGGGGCTATATGAACGGGGATGCACGGAGCTTGGACTATACCTCACTTGAGGCCGGAGTTAGGTTTCGGTATGACATGAGCTACTGTCGATATTAGCCTCATTAAAGGACCCTTACGAGTGGACATAGGGCGCCCTTTCGAAGTGTGGTTTCGGACAGGTAGATTCCACATCCAACATTGATGAAATTGAAGGTTGTGATAAGTGCGTGTGAGCCGAAGCTTAGAGAGTGCTGTGGCTGAGCTCTGTCAGGAATCGAGGCAACTCTGGCTCCAAGCGACTTATTGCATTCCTCATGACTGTGTCCTTTTGTCGCGAAGCTCCTTACAGTCAGAGTGCCCTTGTGCAAGCAGACGCCTCTTTGGTTTTGAGCAACCCCGCCCAGATCCAGCGCGTGGAGAATGGACCCCAGGGCGATGCGTCCTGGAAGCCCTACTACAAGTCCCTGGTAAGGCGGGTGAGGGCACATGGGCAGACAGGTTTGGAATTTTGTGGGAATCAGGCTTGTGAGAAAGTGGGAAAATGGTTGCAAGGGCGTGGGCAGGGCTAGAGCATGCAGGCATGCGCGTGTAATGTATGGAGTGTGTTTTTGAGTCAAGATGGATTAGAATGACTCGGGACTTCATGGGACGCAAGGGTATATTACATAAAGATCCCCATATACCCCATATTCTATCTACTTAAGGGGGGCTCCTTTTAGGAGAAGGGTGGTCTTTGTTGGGCCCTTTTTGGGATTCGATGTTGGTTTCGAGTGGAGGGCAAGGTCTGGTGAAGGCTCCATGCGAGTGCCTTTACTGGTGTATATAGGTGTTATATAGGGGGTATATAGGGATTATATAGGGGTTATATAGGGGTATATTGGGATAATGGACAAGAAAATGGAAACTACTATTTAGGGTTTCTGGCAAGTTGTGAGCAAGTTAGTGCACCAGAGTATTTCGTAGCATGCCTAAGAAGAAGGAGGAGATTGTTTCAGCCAATCTTACTGCATCACCGGAAGGTAGTCGTGTGTTGCATACCTTCTTGATCTATGTGGGTGGTTGTCAAAATTATGGTCCCCCTTTGGATCCCTATTATAGTACGGCGCCTAATATTTAGGGTACCCAAAAAGGGAACATAATTTTGACAACCACCCATGTGTGTATATATGTATACAATATATGATATACCCCCCCTGAAAGATTACTTGCAGCATTACATGATGGGCCTTCCGCTCTCGTTGATCACTCCCGAGTCTTCCCTTGATGAACCCTAAATTAGCCATAAATATGCTGATGAAGGGGGAACCTGGGGGGGCATAGTATAGAGCGATGGTAGGGGAACCCACAACAGATTTTGAGTCCGCGAGGTCACTGGAGGATCAGGGTGTCGAGTTTGAGCCCGGCACTCATACGCAAGAGCCCCAGCATTGCCGATCCGGAGCTGGAGCAGGGTTCAAGGGTTTAAGGAAAAGATCAAGAGAGAAATTGTCGAAATTATTCACGTCCTGTGAAGGTCTCTCTTGAGTTTCTGGTTTTAGGACATTGAAGCAGGAACGGAACGTGGGAAATCAATATTTCTCATACAGAAGCCTGTCTTCGGACCCCTAAAATCCGATCACCTAATCATCCCCACCTATCTCTGCGGTTTCAAGTGCGCCGCAATCTTGGCAAGTCCATAAACTCGAAGCTCTAAGCTCTAAAATTTCCAAACCCCAAACTCTAAACCCTAAACTCCATACCCTAAACTCCAAGCCCTAAATCCTAAACTCTATAGACCCTAAACTTCATAGCCTAAAACCCTGAATTCTGCACCCATCTACACCGTAAACCTTCAAACCCAAACCCTATAGTAAGGGTCCAAGGACCCAAAAAATGGGGTTCTAGGGCCCAAATACCATTCATATTACAGTATTTGGGCCCTAAAACCCTATTATTTGCCCCAAACCCTAAACCCCAAACCCTAAACCCTAGTATTTGGGCCCTTTGGACCCTTAGGGCGAAACGAACGACCCAGGTGCTGGGCCTTCCACGGCTGCAACAACGAGGCCTTGGAGCACGAGCCCCAGAGCTCCTGCAGCTGCCCAAAGGGTAGTTAGTTTAGGGTTTAGGGTTTACGGTTTGGGGTTTAGGGGTTTAGGGTTTAGGGATTTAGGGGTTTAGGGTTTAAGGTTTAGGGTTTGGAGTTTAGGTGTAGGGGTAGGATCGGCTTCGTAGTGGTTATATAGGGATATATACTGGAAAATTAGAACGGAAAGTATTATGTCGGATCTAAGGTTTAGGAATTGGGATTTGGGGTGTAGGGTTTAGAGTTTAGTGTTTAGGGTCTTGATTTAGGGTCAAAGGTTTGGGGAGTCTCCAATAAGGAGTAAGATAAGAGCTTTTTTGTATTTCATGAGAGGAATACCTCCTCCTTTAAGCCTTTGGTTCGACCACCACAAACACAGCTCATATGGTCGTTGTCAAAAAGAGGGGAACCCAAATGCGACCACCGCATAGTCCTCAATTATAGGGACCCTCCCAAAGGGACTTTTCATTTTTAAAGCCTTCCTTTGTGGGCTTCCCAAAACGGAGGGTCTGGCTCTTGCTGAGGCCTCGTAATCGGGATAAGCGTATAATATGAGTATATCGGAGGACGCCAGTCGTGGAAACTCCCACGTATGAGCTATAGTCTAAACTCCTAGTATCTCCCTTGCTTAGCCCCGATTATAGTCCCCTATCTACTCCCCCAAAAAAGCCCCTTTTTAAGATGTTTAGGCTATGGTTCATATGCGGTGCCCCTCAGATCGAGTTGTGTTCAGTGCAGGGAGCGGGGGTCCCTGACATCAGCCTATACCTTAGGAGAACCTTAGTGGTATGATAGCCCTAAACCCTAAACCCAAATATAATCTTTACTATCCCTTATAGTCACTATTAAACCCTAAACCCTAAACCCTAATATAATCCTTACTATCCCTTAGAATCACTATTACTGGCTGGGGGCTCCACCTAACCTATACCTGAAGCTCTCAACATGAGAAGCTTAAAGCCCTTTCGCACCCAGCTCTATATGGGGGGGGGTTCCTTAAATTAAGGGTCCTTTTTGGGGGTCCCTAGGGGTTATACAGGGGGGTTGTATAGGGATACTATTGGACTACATAGGGATTAGGGTTTAGGGATTAGGGTTTCGAAAAATTAGAGGTCCCATTTTGGGGGGTCCCTATAATAAGGGTTGTAGTATTTGGGTTCCCGTATTTCGTGGAAACTACCATATTTCCGAAACCCTCCACTGCCTGACTGGGCCTAAACCCTAAACCCTAAACCAAGGTCGATCATCAACAATCCGGTGTGTGGTTTCCAACCCCTGGCCTCTGGACTGAAGCGCACGCCCACACTGGGCTTAGGGTTATATAGAGCGTATATACGGGTTATATATGGATAATAAGGACTATAGTATATTGGGGTCTATATGGGGGTCCCCGTATTTAGGGAGACTACCATGTAGGCCACAGGGTAGCAAGGATGCTAAGGGTTTAGGGGTTTAGGGTTTAGGGTTTTGGAATGACCAGCAAGGGTGTTGCGGTGATTTTTGCGGCATTACATACTGCACATATGTAAGTTGCATGGGGAGTAGGAGGCGACTCCTATTGGCAACAAGACAGGAATGAACGCTAAGAGGCTTGAGCCCCAGTCAAGGCTGAATGTGCGTAGCATGGATACCCATATGCCATCCAAACGTCAAATCATCAGAATAATCCTCTTACCTAATATTAGAGCAATCCACCCCCCAAAGAAACATATTAGGGGGTGGGTAGGTTCCATAACGGGGGGAGCATTCAACAAATCGAAGCCACCAGAAGCGCACAATTTAAGCAATGAGAGCTTCCTACATGTCTTTGAGCTTAGGGTTTGCCAGTATTTCTGTCATCAACTTCCAGTGGCGTGCCTAATTTACAAGCCAAAATATCTTGCAGCAATGGTTTAGGCGTTTAGGCCCCAAGCCACTTTAAAAACCTGGTTCCATCTTCTCCCCCATGTAATTCGCCGTTATTGGGATGACACTCCTCAACTCTATACAATGCCAAAAAAACATCCCCCACAATCCCTATACACACCCTATAACCCCTGAACCCCTAAAGTCCACATCTCGGCAGATTTGATTTGATTCGCGCAGGAACTCGCAGCACAACGCTGTGGGGTTCTGGGACGTACTTTGTACAGTCCTGAGTCAAAGGTGGTTTCAAGTTTAGGGCTTTGGGGGTTGTAGGGTTGCAGGTTTCAGGCTTCGGGTTGAAGATTACAAGGTTTAGGTAAAGTTGAGGGTTTGGGGTTATAAGTTCAGGGTGTATGTTAGTAGGGGAAGCGTCTTGGGGAAGCTGTATGCATGACCTTAAGCTAGGCAGGCGTATCACGAAACACTAGTGTTATATGTAGAAATATATATAATGGCAAGAATAGGGGTTAGGTTACAATCTGGTTGTATCTAAAGTGTTTCCCTACCCAGGGCTTAGGGTCATGGGGAAGCCGTATGCATGACCATAACCCTTTAACCCCTGAACCCTAAAACCCTAAACCCTCAAAGCTTATGGGACATGAAACCTAGACACTGGCAGCAGTGGGGGTCCTGTGTCCACATACCATCCATTCCGCTCACCTTACTTTGGGTTAGTAGGGAATAAGGGAATTTAGGGTTTAGGGTTTAGGGATAGATTCAGTGTTCAGGGTTAGTAGGGACTGAGGGAACATATTCTGTAGGAACTATACAGGGATTATATTCCCTCTTTCCCTGTGTACAACCAGGAAGCTGACGGAGTCCTTTTTTCTTCGCGTACTAGGTGAGAATCTCTCAATCAATGTATGTAGTCCCATGATTAATAACACCCCCTCCTTTTAAGGGCCTTAATATTAGGATCCCTATTATAGTCCCTATGAAGGGGAGGGGGTTTATTGATCACGGGTCTGGGTTACCATGCAGCCATGCAAACTCCCAGAACGGAGGTACGTAGAGCCCTTGGGTAGCGACCAAGAGAGAAACCGCAGGGTTCGCAGTTGTCCCTGGGGCAATGTGTCACAGAATGACCCCAAAGTCCCAAACAGGGTTGGAGTCTAGGAGCTCCACAGCTACCCTAACCCCTACGCACCCCTATAACTCCTTTATTGGGACCCAGTTATATGTGGCTGCTAGGTCCCATGAACCCCATAGAATCATTTGTGGTCCATCATTTGTGTAGTAGTATATTATTTAGGTGGATCCCCCACCCAGTCATAGTGACTAGAAGGGATACTGGGGATTATATTCGGGTCCTCTTATATTCTTAATATACCACTGTTACAGGGTGGGTGGTCCTCCTAATATATCATACTCACACCATGCCAGCCCTGAAGAGAAACTACAGGGGAGCCCTTGGAAAAGCATCTGAGGCTTCCCAAAATTAGGGATACCTTTTTGGTGTCCCCATAATATGGATCAAAATATTTTTGGCGTCTATATTGAGG